AATTGAATGAAATTTGGTACAGAGGTAGATTATAGTCTGGAATAGAACATTGGTAATTTGCAATTTTTGCCCCGAAAATACCTGACATTAAGAAAGCTGGTTTTTATTCAATATTTTACTATTTTATTTTGAGGTATGGCTTCCAGAATATACATTTACACTTGTTAATTCAATACACTGGTACAGCAAATATTATTTTACTTAAATACCGAAACATAGAAACCCCTCTACATTTGCAGTATTTAAAAATCATTCTTTATGAAAAATACATTATAAAAGGCTCACATAAAAAATAGACCCAAAGCGATCGTTTACCGATGAAAACCCTAAAGGCTTTATGTAAAAGATTATACCGTTAAAAAAAAGGTTTGTATCTTAAACGTCAAACAGTAATTTTCTTCACCATTACACTTGGCTGCATATTCTCGAATGGCAATTGTGGATGAAAACGGGGACCGAATGAATGTAGTAGGTACTGATAACATTCTTTCAGTAATCGTTTTTGGGGTGAAAGGTTGGAATGTTCGGATATTTGTTAAGTGATGATTTGAAGATTCAAAGCTTTATTATATTATTATTGACATTCGATAATAGACTTTGATCATATATAAAATACTTTTTAAATCGTAATGAAAATAAAATTCTTTGAAATGCGGTTTAATAATATAATGTTTATTTATTTAATATAATAACAAATGTTTTTTTTAATGAGATTAGGTAAAGTATTTCGTTGGAGGGCTTAGAGTGGATTAAAATTTGGAATAAAATAATGTTATGGCGTCCCTTTTCGTAATGAAAAACTTTAAAATTAGGAACCTTAGTCTGCCATTAAAAAGTTACTGTGGTCATATATCATGTACTGTATCATGTCTGTATAAAACATACTTAAGGCTGATGATATTTAGGGAAAATAAGATAATATGTTATTGATTAGATTAAGAGGAGGTGAGAGAGCAAAAAATGCCCAATGGGCTTAAAGCAGTTTTACTTAAAAAAAAAAAGAAATACGAGTGTGCTTAAGACCACACGACTGAAGTAAAAGTTCTTGGCTAGGAGAGAAAGAGGGAAAGAAAATGTGTGCTTGCACCTCTCTCTCTTGCACCTACAGTAATATACGAAACGTAACTTTTGCTCTTTCTATCTTCACTAACTTATTTCACCTCTCAACTCCCGTTCGCCTCGCCCGATTACATTTTTCGTAACGCTTCACGCATTCACCAGCTTACTCCCCAATTCAAGCGTACTTAAAAAAGTTTTCTTCAAAAATGTTGTACAAGACCTTGATCTCATATCAACCCTTATTGATGTTAGCTAAACATAATAAAGGTATATATTTTATTATTACAACACAGTGCCAAATAAACTCTGATACCAGTTAAGGATGAATAGCATTCAATTTACAAAGCACGTTAACAAATGTTACGGACAGGCGGAAATTACGACTAAATATAGGGGCGGAAACGTCGAGGAATCAATTTCGTTCCTTTGTCCAAGGAAAGGATTTGAGCTGGATAAGCGAGTTAGCCAGAAATTCAACTAGTCTTGAGTTTGGATATTTTCTGTAAGTAGGAAGTTGACTATTGAATATTTTTAACGAATCGGATCTTAACCTGTTCCAATCTATGGAACGGGTTAGCGTCTGCGAAATTTCAGGACCGATACGGCCTTCAAACCTTCAAGAAAAGACCGTACTCCTTCCTAAAAGGCCAACAACGTGTTTGTGACTCCTGAGTTGCAGACGTTCATGGGCGGCGATGGTCACTTTCCATCAGGTGACCCGTCTGCTAGTCTGCCCCCTCCATCATAAATAAAAAAAAGAACAACTTTGTTGAGAGCATTAAATACATTTTATATTTAATAATATTTCGCATTTATATTCTTTTTACTTGTAATATAGATAAGATATTGGTTAGAAATTCGGTAAGTTTTTATTTTTTATTTTATTTATGACTGTAATGATGAGACTACTGCTGCCCATGGTCACCAGTTCTTTGAGTTCTCCCCATAGAATCAGGGGTTCTCTCCATTAAAATGGGGACGAATGAAATGGTAACTTCAACCACTTGGTGCAAAGCAACAAAAGATTTGCCTAATACCGGTTTTTTGTATCGTTTACCAAAATCTGTACTCGGTATCTCAGATAGTGTATTTATATTTTAAAAGAAAGTTAAAGAAATATTAGTTGTAAAATGCTATTGTTCTGTGACCGATTATTTAATTGATAGTATTTTAGTGTGAACATATGTATATCCAATCATGTTTTTTTTTTTGTTTTTTTTTTTGGAATATATTCTGTGTCGCAGGGGACTTTACAAAGATACATGAAACGGACACAAAGAACACCCAGAGCACCAGGCACAACCATTTGTCAATCACACAAAGTGTCGTCCCATGTGGGGATCGGACCCACAACACTCAGCGCAATAGGAAGCGGCGAGGTGACCGCTTAAACCACTACGCCATCCGTGCAGTCGCATTATTGCAAGAACTTTTACTTTTAAATACCTACTCATGTTCTGCAAAATAAATGATGATTTGATTTAATTCTGTAAGGCCGTGGCATCACTCCGTTCGAGCCTGATCGATCCCACATTATCTTCTACCAGTAAAAGTCTTGTTAAGATCGGTCCAGCTTTTTGGAGATTTTGTATTAGATTGCTATAGTGGTTTGTTTTAGATATCACGTGGGGTTCAGATCGTGACGTCGCGGATGGTAACTCACTATGACTACAGTTGATTTAAAATTTAAATTTGCCTATCGGTAGCCGCTAAAGTTCGTAAATCGATTAAGTTGTGTTTGCGAGTTGAAGTTAGTAAACTGTTACGTCAACTACTAAACAATTTAAAACTTTTATTAAAAAAATTAGTGGCTGATTTCAAATTATACGGTTCATAAATTGTTGTTCTTGTTGTGAAATATCAAATACAAAGGAATAGAATTGAAGTAAAAATTGTATTGTAATATCTATCTTGCATGTAGTCCAGTGTTCAAGTCTGAAGTTATCATATATATTGCGAAAAGTTGATTTTATTAAACGTTTATAAAAATATCGATGCAATTTGGACAATAATATATTCTTTGCTTTGATTTCGAAAAATAATCTCGGATCTCTTTACTGATAGAAATTCAAGATCTTGAATTGGCATACATATTACATACGTAACGTCGGAAAAAAAAAACTTAGGAAAGTTCTTGACGAATTGAATTCGTCTAAGTTACGACAAGTGTCGCTTGGATAAAAATATCAATATTTCACTCTCATACTGATTCTGACTTGGCCGTCAATCATTTTGAGGACTTGTATACTATTTCTCCTAAGCCCTGAATATCAATAGCCTATACACTATTTGGCGCAGAATGGTGCTTTCAGTTTGGATTTTTTCTCACCCAATAACGGTGGGGTGAAATGTTTAAATTTGGTATCCAAGTTTTTTGTGTTTTTCCCATTGACTGATGTCTTCTATCTATATTAAGAGAACTACTAAGTTTATAACTAGAAAACCCCTAATTAGGAAGGTAGGAATCGCTATCAAAATCATATTACCCGGTCCGTATTAAGCTTTTACCGAGTGACTAATATTGAATTAGTGGATAAAGTAGCGTAAGTATTAGGGGTTAAAGTGTGGAATTGCCGATTTGTACTGAAAAATATATTAAAAAAAATCTAAGATTTAACATATTTAATTAATCAAAATATTTACCCTCTATACATTGCTGCCATCTAAACGGAAGTTTATTAATGCATTTACGATAGATTGTCCAAATCACGAAAAAAATGGTAGTCCGTCGGAGCAAGGTCTGGCGATTACAGAGAATTACGTAAGGTTTCTGACTGCAGCTCTTGTAGAGTGACAACGGTTTCTCGTGCAGTATGAGATCTTGCGTTATCGTGTAGAAATAATGGTGAAGATCGTAACACGGGAAGAGTCTGTTTCACTACTGAAGTTCGGCACACTAAATATCTGCTGTTATTGCCTCACCATACCTAAGAAAGCTATAGTGAATAACACCATGGTAACTGTTTGGTGTTCTCTTCAGACCACCAAACAGTTACCAGTACCTTTTTGTTGGTAAGCTTTGCTTTATCACTGTTGCGGCGTTTGACCTAGGGTCGGCCATTGCATTTTTTTCTTACGGCTATCGTAAACAATCCACTTTTAGTCACATGTCACTATTAGATCCAACATTTAATTAATTAATTTCTGTACCGATTCAACAAGTCAACACAAGCTTAAACACGCATTACTTTCTGCAGATCAGTCAAATCACGAGGCACCCATTTTTCATATATATTTTTTCTTATTGATTTGATGCAAATGAGTTAATATTGTAGGTAGAGTAACGTTAATCTATGCCGCTAATTCCTGGATAGTTTGATTCGGCTTTCACCATCTCCTTAAATTCAGCGTTATTCAGCTGTGTGGGCAGTTTTCTCAGTGGTTCGTTCTTCAAGTCGAAGTTTCCATTTTAATAGCGTTTAAACCAAAAACGCAAGGTGCATTCATTAGCAGTCTCCAAACGTAGCGTTTCTGTCGCGGAACTAGCGAAAGAACTCTTATTCGAAAATGATCAGGATTTTCAAAGTAATCTTTCACGTCTAAGCTGAATAAAAACAATTGAAAGTAAAAAATCGAATGTTGCACATTATTTAAAAGAAGAACCTAATAGGTATCATGTAAAAAAAGTTTCACACGAAAATCTCACACCATGAAGGTTTTATGTCAATCTTTAACCCCTATTATCATAAATAAAGTAAGAAAGAGCAAAGAACAAATAAATGAAGTTTTAGTTCTTTTAAAATGTGTTAAACGTTAAAAAAAATTTGAAGATGAATTTATAGGAGAATTATATGTTAACAATAAATCTACTTCCACAAGTCACATTCGTAATAATTTTAAGTAAATGTAATATTACTTACAATAAATTAATATTTTATTGTTCTACAATTTACCTACATTATCACTATTCGGTGTATGTAAAAACATCTCAATGAATTACAATGGGGTCGGCGGCAGACAGGTCACCTCATGGTGAGGCTATGGTATCACCTCGTTTGAGCTGACACACTGAGCTACTTGAGATAATAATTCGAGTTGAGATTAATAAGCTCCTTTAATTTAATGGAATCTCCTTTGAAGGCTGTGTTTGTCTATCATTGTAATATTGCAAGACTAAGTGTTTGCGCCTGTTTAAATTAAAATTACGACGACGCTCGACACATTTTGCTAATTTTGTTTTTTATGAAAGTATAGCCTTATATTGAAGTTTAATTTATCGATTTGGAAACAAGATTGCCCAATTTTAGCGCAGTTTCCTTACCTAAGTTAACGATTTTTCTCAAGCTTAGCGCTTAACTTTATATAGGTTTCTCTAACACCCTTCTCTAATGACTTGTACACGTATATCTCTAAATATTATTTCAATCTTCATCTTATTTCCCGTCTTTATTCTTTAATTTACTCTTATAATATTTTTTAAGAAACTATCAACGAAGCAGAATCCTTAAAGAACATTTAATGTGATTCGTTGATATACTTTATAAATATCCTTCTAACACACGATGAGATCAGATTCTCAGAAAGTGATATGTGAAATCAAGCGTTAAAACTAGGGCGCAACGTTAGGGACGACAATTTGACGAGCATGTGCGAACAGAAATTGTGCTTTAACTTTAATGGCAAACAAATAAACTTAAGCGCCTTTTAATGTTTTATACTTTATTAAGTATATACTTACCATGGATTAATAAGAGGAACCTCACGGTTCTTCTTGTTAATTTAGTAATAACAACTTGAAACATCTTTTACATTCCAAACAGAATGAGTGATCGTTGTTCATTTCACCGTTAAATATATCTTGGGTAAAAATGTAAATCCACAATCTAACAGATTTCAGAATGGCAATCATTATACTCCTACGTTATCTTAGATTTATTGCTACGTTTTGTTTAGAATATTTGTTTTATAATGAATATAAAATAGAGATGGTAGTTTTTACCGAAGTGCTGTTACTCCACATTTATAGACTCTAAACCGTAATAAAATTTTACAGCTCTCATGAGGTGGCAACACCTTTTTTTTAAATTTAATACGCAGTAAATATTTTTTAAGGTACAGGAGGCAAATAAGCAGACGGGTCACTTGATGGTAAGCGACTACTGCGGCCCCAAGGTTAGGTCGGAAAACAGGGATTACAATGATAAAATTGGTTACTTCAGGCAAATGTTATTTTAACATTTTGTGTCACTTTTTCGTTGGTTCCTTTGGCTTCAATTTTAATTGGATAATTTCGATTAAATAGGATTTGCTATTAAATAATTTTTAATATAGCTCAAACTTCGTAAACATACGCAATTAGCGCTTCAATTGACCGCCAAATTTCGGGTTTTATATAAATACTATAACAAGGAAAACATGTTTTTTTCTTTTACAATAGGCATTTAAAAATATTCGGATAATTCCTTTCATATAGAGCATGCTATACTTTATAATAGGACCCAGAAATTTAATTTATTTTACCATTTATTATATAGCAGTAATCATTGTTATACAATAAAAGGTTAAATAAATTTAAAATTAATAATATAAATATAAATAATATAATGATAACATGCGCAGTAAAACATTTGAAACAGAAAAAGGTCACACTTCAAGAGTTTCTAAACTTATATGAGTCCTCCTCTGTCTATTCTCTATCTATTCCAAAATTGGTTTATAAGAGAATTTAATTTTAGTGCTATTGAAGTCGATTTGTATGCGACTGCTGTGCTGAGATCTCGGGTTCGATACCCGGGTCGGACCAAATGTTTGTATGATCTGGAAATATTACTTTCAGAGTGTGGGTGTTTATATGTATAATTGTATGTATTTACAAAAAAAAGTATAGAAGTATTCTATCAGCCAATCTAGCTTTCATAGTACAAGTTCTGCTTAGGTTGAAACTAGTTGACGTTGTGTTTGAGATGTCCGAAAATATTGTTTTATTATTATTTGTTGTATTTTTATACCGTGCACTTACTGCTTTCTTAATTATGATTGGCATCACTAAAAACTAAAGTATATTGTGCATATAGTAGACAATAGAATACTAAAGAACCACAAACTAAGGTAACTTTCTTTTGTTTATGTACAGGCAGTTCCATCAATCATATGTATGTATATTGTATAATATGGTATGTTTTCACATTGAAGTGCCTGCTGTAAAAGTATTCCTTGATATAATTTATTATTTTTATGTACGAAAGTGTTTTGTGTAGTGGTTTCACCATAATTGTATTGTGTCACCAGTATTTGTCTATGTAATATAAAAACTTTAAATGTTGACTGAAGGATTAGGCTGTTATAATTAGAATAACAGGCGTAAATGCATATGTTTTCTTTGTGATGGACGTACTTATGTACATAATCGGCAATTTCCGCTCAAGTTACAAGTTTAATCTTATATCGTAGACGTAGGTGTACACTAAGAAAGGATTTTCAAAAATTAAACCATTAAGGGTGAAAAATGGGGGTTGAAAATTTATATGAGACTTTGTTATTTTCTGTAGTAACGTATCCTCTACGATGTCTGATGTCGACCACTACGCGGACGAAGTCGCTGGGAAAAGCTAATTTATTTGATCCTGGTGTACAGGAGTTAGAGTGGTGGGCGTGTTGGAGGGATTTGTCCCGTTACCATTACATATAAGAATTTGTACCTGTAATATCACAGACGGATTGACCACTGTGACCAACATTACATGGTTTTCCAAATCGAATACATGCTATACATGCGAACATCTGCTGTGTAAGAGTATTGAACAAACTTCTAACCTTAAATAATTACTGTAAAAGAAGTTACCAGAATATTTTAAAAGTATTTATTCCGACTAGAAATCACCTAGTGGTCCATATCCATTGATTTTATAATTTACAAGCTGTACCCTGCAACGCTTCGTTGTGACATTGTCTTTTATGTAGAGCGTCCTGTAGTCATTTCCCAACTGATAACGCCTGTTAATTAAAAGTTTTATCTTTCTGCTCTAATTCAACATAGAAAAGTAACTTAAATATCCAAAATTTCCTTTTAACTGCACTAAATATTTGTCACGCATTAATTTGGTAATATATACATAGATACTCCGTGCATCTGTTGCCGTTAAAATACGTAATCGACCGGTCTAACTTAGTTAATATAAAGATCTGAGAGTTTTCTTGAAAACTTGTGTTTACTGCATAGTGAAAGGTGACTGTAGCCAAGTGCATTCGTGTATAACTAAAATGTACTTGAGATTTCTTATAAACGTTTTACTTTTGAACTTTACATTAAGTGAAGCACTTTTTCTGTGGAAAGGTAAATATTTTGTAGTGAAAAGCATTTAAACTTATTTGAGGCAATTCTTTAACTTGGTTTAGATTTATTAAATTTTACAGTTCGACTTATTTAGAATTTAATATGAAATTGAAATTAATAAGTGCTTAGTTGTTGACGAAATTAGATTTATTATATTAGACTTTTTAGTAAACTTTAAATGTCAAAGTGACTTTAATATAAATTTATTAAATTATGCGATGAATGACGATAGACATATTTATACAAAAGTGAAGGAGAATAAACTGATATTCTTCTTAATTTGTTTTTATTTAATATTTCTGATGTTCTAATAAAATATTAAATACAGTTTAGAATATTTATATAGATAGATAGATTATTTTGTATATTTATCTATTTAAAAATCTCTTTTACTTGATTTTCGGTTTAATCGTCGAAATCACGATTTATACTGGTTAGATTTTCATAGGTAATTTTATATACTAATTAATTATAATTAACATTTAATCAATTGTTAATCATTAATTATAAAAATCATTTTATATTGCAACCTACTACTGTATACAGTAACACTTTTCTAGATATAACTTGATCTAAGTTAGTATATGGAGTATTTTCATTTCAAATTCCTAATCTAAAAATGTTTATATAACTATACATTATGATTCGTTCTCTATTTTGAACTCTGATGGCCACACTCGTAGCATTTTCTTCATATTGTTTTTTTTCTCAAATTATTTGCTATCGCATGTACAGTCATACGTTTAATGTAGGTCTCTATTATAGAAATGCGTATATGAACAATTACATAAATGTGTGCCTTATTTTAGCTCGCTTATTTGCATGTCGTTCGAGGTTACAATAGAAATTTATCGCAACCGTTCTCTGAATTACTTTATCGAAAATTTTAACGTCATTCAAAGAAGAATAAAAATGATAATTATAAATGAATTGTATTCTAATTCTAAATAGTTGTGATTAATTATATTATAATTATCGGTTGTATTCATGACAACAATCTTATATATATATTATCTCTATTTTTTGCTTTCAGATAAGTCGATATTCCTGTGTTTCAAAGTTTGTCCACTATATTGTTCGAAGCGACGACGACGTGACGTGGGTATGATTGTGTTTGTTATAAATAATGTAACCTGTCTTATTGAATTCGCATTACTTTTTTAATATTGGTACCCTGGTACCTACATCATCGACCTACAGAAGGTCTAGCGTGAGGAGAGTTGATATAATATAATCATATTTATTATGTTTTGTTTTTTGTTAGTTACAAAATCACGAAGGTACTTATTCCATTAATTTTTCGTTCATCTCAATTTCTTATGCCTGAGTGTATTCAGGAAGGAAGTGAGGCGTGATCAAATATTGACGGCTAACGGATGTCCGTCGTTGCGACAAAAAAATAATTTACTTTAGGATAATATTTGCCCCAAGTATACGCACACGTTGGCCTAATGGTCTAGTGGTTAGTGACCCTGACTGCCAAGCCGAGGGTCGTTGGTTCGATTACCAGCCAGGACAAATAATTGTGTGATGAGAATGATCAGTTGTTCTGTGTTTGGGTTTAAAATATCTACAATGTGTATTTATTTAGAAATATATAAGTATGTTTATTAGCAGTTTGGTCACTATAGTACAGGCTCTGCCTAGTTTGGGACGGGGGAAGTTGTTATATGTATATGCGTACTGTATACTATGACCGTAGTCTCGTCTCAAAACAAAGGAAGTATATAAAATTGAAGTCAAACTGTGTAAAGCCATATAACTTTTATTTAACGGGTTTTTCTGTAAAAATAACGATTTCAGACTTCTCTAGATATCAAATCCCTTATCGTGTGTTTATGTTTGATTTTAGCTTTTGCGTAGAATGCCATTTATCTTGATAACAGACTTTATTTTCATATTAGTGTTATTACATTTTTATAAAGAAAAGTACCTAATACTTCTGTGTAGATCATTTGGTGTTAGCAGAATATCAGTGCATAAAAGGGGCATCACGCTGGGCTAGCAGCCGTTTTCATCTCATTCAACGTTGTTCTTATATATTATTATTAATATTCTGTATAATAATATTATAATACATAATACAATAGACGGCAATAGGCTGAAGTACAGATTTATAACAGATATAGAAATATCATCTGTAAACAGACAGGGTAAACGTCTTTCTTTCTTTCTAATAATTTCTTGTCTAGGTCTTATCCGAGAAGTGTCAGTTCAAGAGTCACAGTATAACATATCGGCGTTCCTCATTTTACATGAAGAACATTAAAACGTTTACCAGTTTCACAGATTATATACGACTTAAGAAAGCTAATTATCAGCATTTTATTTAAGTTTTATTTACACAAATCTTAATTTTAGTCCCTGGGTGTTGTGAAAAACTACAAACTTGTTCCAACAAAGTCAAGTAGTACATTGATTGATCGTCTGCTATGTGCAAGTGAATCGTAAATTTTAGTCTTATATGACACAAATAGTTATTATATGACCTATTATAAACCTGTGCCTTGCTATTAACATCCGCCTGGGAGGATTGGTTGGAGAAAATATTGACATGACGGAGATTTACACCACACATTTCGCTTAACGAACAACTAACTCTAAACTCTTCTATTCAATTCTGCTAACTGCGTATTCTGCTTTTGTATACTAGTTTATCGACTTGGTTACCGTGAAAAGTCTCATATAAAACAGAATGATTTTGTCAATAGTCCCGTAAATAAGTGGTTTCCTAAAGAGAACTAGTATTTTCTAATCCCGTTTTAATGGATGACACGGGTTTTAGAAATGGTTTTAGATCTCGAGATAGTTGTCCTGATTCCACGTAGAAACGCTGTGTGGTATAAATTGAGTTACTTTGGTGCTCTTAGACATTGTTCGTTTAAAAATGGGAGAAATCCTTTGCACAAAATTGTATTAACTAATTTAGTATAGTTTAAGTTCAGATAAAGGTACATTTATACGTTGTTAAACTGCAATTGAAAATTTAAAATATATTATCATTATGTAGGTGTATGTATGTAACTATGTAAGTATTAATCTTGGTACGTACGTATGTATGTATTTATCTCATTGTTTCTGACAAACTTTTCAATAACTTTCCCTTACTTATCAATCTCTAGTGCACCTAGTCACACATTTCAGCACTCGCCTAAGGTGGACTGGGAGAAAATGCCTGTAGCTAAGCCCGCCATTGTACAACCCATAGTTGTGCAATAAGTTTTAAATAAAAAAAAATTGACAAACTAAAATATTTTATTTAAATTAAAATGTTTTATTTTAGATTTACCTCCTTTAGCCTACGGTGAAGACTGGTTTCCCACTCCCGAGTATTGGGTAGAAGACTTCCATCACCATCTTTATATACCATATCACCACCACACCCATTGGGTATACACGCATAAGCCGACCATCACACCAATGCCAACTACTCCAAAGCCGACTACAACTATGCCACCTACAACAACTGCGGAACCAACTTTTATTTGTGTTGTTTGTGAAAATAAATGTGGATTCCCACCCAAGTCAAGACGATAGTTAATAAAAATATGCATATTAGTTTTATAATATATTTTAATAAATGTTGTTACTGAGTATTATTTAATGAAAAATGGTATTCTGCTAGCTTCTTTTCAAGAAAAGTTACATCGTTTCTATTTTTACAAAGGTTCACAGGCAATTCTTGTTTAGATAATTTTCATCATCTTTGTAGTTAGTTGAATTTAACTTTGATGCTTTGCTGACGACCTGCAACATGTATTAAAAAAAATTATCGAATGAGTGAGTTTGCCGGCGCCTCAAACCCCTCCTTCCCCTAATTCTGGGAAGTGATCGTAGAACGATCACGGAAATTTGTTATCGTCGTGACCGACAATTTGCACCTCTTTCACATTCATAAAGGCTTTTATACACGATCAATGGTTACTTCTTCATCACACTGCCGATCTGGTCAGTATTGGTCTTTGGGGGCCTATTCGCACCGGGTCACCCATCATTGTTAAATTATGTGTATGAAACATCTTATTGCAGTTTTGAAGTTTGATTGTTTTTTTTTATCCCTAAAAATATATCATAAATGACTCATGTATGACATTTTAATAGAATTAAAGATTGTCGTGAAAATACTTTTACATTTAAGTTTGAAGAAGTGTTAATATATATTAAAGCTAATTTTAATTGTCTTTTAATATTATTTATTCTTATAATATGGCACGGGAAACAGCGTTCATTCAAATGACTTGCAAAATTCAACTGAATTATTTAATAAGTCTAAACAATAATTAAATTTAATTATATGTTACTTTACATACTTGTATTGGGTAAAAATGTACAAAATCTTTACACAATTTCCATTTAATGTTCCTCTGAATTTGAAATGGTTTGCAAAAATCCACATTAATACTCGTTTGAACCTAGTATTAAAAGCAAAAAAAAACATTAAAGACTTTTAATGTAACTGATGATATAACTCTGGATAGTTAAAGAAACAGATAAATTGGGCAACACAAGTGATACCAATAAGCTTGCGTCTTTATTTTTAAATTTATGAACGTATGATGATATCAGGGAATAACGTGTTTTCTTCTTCATATATACTTAGTTATTTTTACATTTTAATGCCTTTAGCTTTCAATCTCTCAAAGAGATAGAGGGATCCCTTAAGGATAATGTCGTTGTCCATCTATCTCTTTGTCTGTCAGTCGGTGTTTGGCTGTCCGTCCAGATGATTGTCAGGAATGCTATATCAGGGATATATCATTCAAGTTAAATTTAACATTAGATACGGCAATGTATATTCATTTTCTTGACTCTACGTAATCAAAAGACAGGGCCATTTATTAGCAAAGGTCGATGAATAAACAAATTCTACCACCACACCAAACACACTCGTGTTTGTTGCACTCATGAAATGTAATTAATATAAATAACAAAATTACTTCAATTAAGGTCGACCGTGCCGATATACTATAGTATTGAGTTTGTTTGCCCTTTCTTCTCATAAGGCTCAACCCCTTGGAAACGAGCGGTTGTAGATCGGCACAGGCATATCATAGATTTTGTATGGGTTTGATTTTTGTTAAATTTATTTGCTTACTATTTGACAAAACAGAGATTGTTGCTTTTGTGTGTATTGATCTATGACTTTAGAGTCTACATAAAAGACGATTTCAAACAATTTTGAAAATTTTATGAAATAAAGAGAGTTTGAGTTTGAGTGTATTCTTTATACTGCAGTATACTCATTAGAGAGCTACAGAAAACTGTAATATATTAAATTTCTTGCTAATCCGTAACATAGAATAGAATACATATGTCATATAGTTATATATTTAATATTTATATGTCATATTTTAGACTGAATGTTTCCGAGGGCTCAAACTTTCTGCCAATAGCCAATTCGAGTTACAGGTAAACGACCTAGACCTAATTGATCTATTTTTTATATTCTCCGATCCATCCGTATGAGGAAATATATAAACTTTCACACTTAATCCCTAAGATGCCCGGTCGACGGCACTAAGCTAGCCCTATTGCGTAAATGGGACAAAATTAATAATGCCTGTTATAATGACGATGGTCAGCAAAATGTCGTGTTTAGTTTGCCTGTGCCAATAAACAACCACAAATTCGCCCGTGTTCTTATACGGATGAAAAGAATTTACACACGGGAATAAAGTATAAGTATGAAACGAAACCTAGTCAATCGTAATGGGAAACAGTAAAATATATTTCGTCACACCTTAGTTTTTAGGAAAGAGAATGAAAAACATATGCATCCTACTCTAACTAAGGTATTAACTGCCAGTCATACATTTTTACAAGTCCTGATATTCGAGACATCGGATTTCCGTGGATTTAAATTGGGCTTTATTAATTTTTTAAGAACTAGGCAAGAACATGACTGAGGCAAGAATCCTTATGAAGAAACTTAATATATACGCCTTGGTGGTTCAACAGTGGCATATAAATTATTATAAACCGAGAACGAGAGTTCAGGTTTGAATTTTATCATTACATTATATGCAATGAAAGATTATATGCACGTAGGTTAAATGTTAGGTAAACTAATGTACTTTGTATTTAGTAACAAAGATAAGAGCAACAGTAAAAATTATAATAAATATTACAATATCTAAACTCTTATCTCTACTCTTATATGGAAGTGGTCTATTATTTTCTTTAAATATATCTTTCACTTGTAGCCTCTTTTCTTCTCAGGCGGACTACTCACCAGCTGACCCAGTGGAGAGATTCAAGAGATTACCTCAGGGCGCCTTGTATGAGAACAGAAGTGTGTGCGTGTGGGAAGCCTACGGGAATCCCTAGAGGAAAACAACTTACACCTCAGTCATACATACATGTATATTTCAATAAAAACAAAATTAAGGTTACAATAAAAAAAAAACAGAGGGTATAAGAAAAACCGCAGCGGAGCGCGTCAGAGCCGAGCTGATGGTGCTCGGAGCCTCCTCGTCTTCACTCCAGGAGGTTACTTCCTCTTCCGCCCGAGTCGGCTATTTATATTAGATATTGAGAAAAGTTCACAATTGGCATTTATAAGTTTATAAGTAAGTACGTAACCCTTGGGTACGGCTGTCCGCTTGCGTCGTGAGCCGCGCACTAACCAGCTTGCCAGAGGGTACCGAGAAACTTGAATCTGAACCAGAAGGCCACAAACGAGCAAGCACGCCGTCTGAGACTGACCGTCTTGACCCCGAAATCTGGGACCCTACGAATGGATTAGCACTCATATAATTAATCAGATTCCAGAAACAAATAGGTAAAAAAAAATTAAAGACCATACTCACCACTCCGTGGGTACTTTTGAACAGATAATATATTACGAAAATCAAATCACACAACAATCAAAACACTATTTAAGATTGGAAGACACGAGATAGCAGAGTGTCTCCCGTGGCTGAAAGCCGGACTTATATATCTTCCGTTCCCGAAGCTTCCAGAAATTATCCCTACTCAACATTTTACTTTGACATTTAAATTGAGGACGAGGTTAACACGACCAAAATCAAAAGTAACTCGCTTTCTACCATAACAAAACACTCTTAATACCTATACAATTTGTCATGAAACGTCATGTCAAACAAACGCCATCTAGTGGTCCGACGGCGAACAAAGAAGATCAATACTGTAGCTATAAACTACCTAGGATAAATCAAAGAAAATGCGACTGGGGGCAATAGATGTCGCTTTTGGCAAATCCATACGCAATACAAATATACTAAAAAAAAACTGTTACACACTTCAATGTAAAGCCGTTTTTTAGTCGTATTTGCAATCGTTCATAACTTTATTTTATCGTGTTCTGTTAACTTAGTATTTCAATATTGAAATATTCCTTTTGTTATCAATTATTATTTTGTGTCGATTGATTGTCTAATTAAACACTCAACCGTGTGTCTGTGTATGGTCATTGTTTTGTTTCTGCGATGTGTTGTTTAATTTAAAAAATAAAGAAAATAACAAAGTAATTTAATGCTATTTTGTATGACACGTAGTACGTAGAAGTCTTTGACAGAATTTTTAGCATCATGTAAAACAATATTAGTGTGGTAACGGATTAAGAATACAGAGTGTCACTACCCTTTTTTTTTCTGTGCAGAAATCCCCTCGGATACCACTTACCGGTGGTATACCTCGAACCGACTAAAACCGCACGGCTTCTCAGGTACTAGTAGTCGGGAAACTAGGTGTACCCTCTAGGCACTAACTTGAATCGAACCCTATACAAACCCGTCTGGCCAACGAGGTATAGTAGGCCAAAATCTCCTTTTTAAGGAGAGGCCTATGCCCAGCAGTGGACTAGTAAAGGCTGTTGATAATGGTGCTATGAAATAACTAAGGTTATTAAAGTTAACGGTGCATCAAAAATGTAAAGCGTAAAATTAAATATTCAAATCTCTGCAGATTATGTAAACCCACTCTCTCTGTAACCAGTGATACGAGTTTGACAGGAACTTACATTTAATATTATTTTTGCAACTTCTTGTAAACCTAGCTATCACTTAAGATTCCTTCAAACTAGTTCTGCTGTAACGGTTTATGCAATTGCATATTTTACATAATTATTTCTGAATAAATTTATGGAGTAGATGAGGTTTACTTATCAAGGATTACAACACCTTTTAGGGTCAGGTACTTATTGGAAGTAAATATTAGTAAATTTATTTATATGAAGGCACGTTGCTGTACATAATAGTCCTGCGAGAGATAAACGAAACCTCTACCTCAATCAATGGCTGTCGGTGTTTAATTGACTGATAATTTAAAAGTCCTTCTTATTACCTTCAATATATATAGCTATTGTTATTAAAAGTCATACATAACTGGTTTTATAAGTCTTTATTAACTTTTAAAATCTTTGAAACGTGTTAGGTTTATGACATTATGAATCTAATATTCTTCTTTGTGTCGATGTTCTATTTGCATCTCTGCTCTCTGTACTAAGCTAAAAGCTCCAATTGCTCCAAATTGTTAGAAGTACTTAAAAGTATCTCATTCTATATTATAAAAAACAA